AGTCTCCAAGAGACAATCCCACACCCCATGTTTCCTATCTCACCTTTGATAGGAGGTGATTGAATAGGTGATCCCTCCCCCCTATCCTTGAGTCATTCGGCCAGAACAAAGTAGGAGAAGCCCAAGGGAAATCAAAGCTCTAGTTGGAGGAAGAGGGAAGCTAGGAAAATCCACAAGAAATAGCTTGAGTTTAAGGTAAGAACATAACTATTGTTCTTTAACTAGTTTTATGGTGTATGATTTTTAAGAAATCATATGGTGGATTAAATCATGAGTTCTACACGTTTAAAAGTGTAGAATATTGATATAAAGTGGTGGTAATTAACTTGGGAGGGTTGGCCAATCGATAGGAGTCGAAACCGCCGGAAACCGCCACTTCCAAGGAGCTAGTCGTAGTTGCAGACCACGAAAGCTGCCCGGCTTTCGTGAAAGCCGCCCGGCTTTTGCCCAGCAGGTCAGTTTTACACCTCCAATCGGCCTAGAACGGGGATTGATCGAGGGGCTTGGCAAAGACAACTATTTCAGCACTTCATAAGGTGAGGATGGCTGACTATATTGCTTATAATTTGTGGGTTAATTTCATAAGATTGCCTAAAGTATTTAGATGGGATTTTTCATGGATTATTAATGATTAATAATGCCTAAATGAAAATAATATTGATATGAGTGAGTGAAGCATGATATACAAATTGAGAACAATTATGTATGGTTATGTGAAATGAATGGAACGGCATGTTAATGAAATTACTATGATGACATTGTGATAAAACATACTTTTACTTCATGTATGAAATCCATGAATGGTTAAAAGTGATAGTTTTGACATTTGGATTAAATTATATTTGGATTGGAAAATCAATCGGGATGAATTAATTTGTTATGACTTAAGAACTTGGCGGTTCTAAGATTATCCGACTAGTGTTGGAATACTAGTCGGGAGATTAATATAAATAAATGATGGAATTAATCCTAAGAGATAGGATTGAAAATGAGTATGCCTTAAGTAGTCTTAAGAGATACTTTAAGGTTGGATTATATGAACACTAAGGTGTGATAGGGGTAGGCCTAAGGCTACCCAAGGAAATTGATTCTAGGCATAGGATTTGCTTGAGAATTGGGTTATGAAAATAATTAGAGTTGGACTCTAGGATGACATGGAAATGTAGTTGGGCCGAGCCAATGCCATGTAATATGATTTGCATGGAAACGTAGTTGGGCCGAGCCCTTGTCATGTATATGTGATCTCTGTGGAAACGTAGTTGGGCCGAGCCCTTGCCACGAAGTTATGGTTGGTATGGAAACGTAGTTGGGCCGAGCCCTTGCCATACAAATTTTGATATGTTATATCGAGTTAGAGGATTGTATAGAATTGTAGTTGGGCCGAGCCCATGCTATACAATTGGGGCTCGATGGGACCCCACGGGGTTGTCGTGACTCGCGGTCACGGGGGAATGGAAACGATGAATTCTAAATGAACATGGGCCTATGGGCCGACTACTTGACTTTATATAAAGTAAGTACAATTAAAAGAAAAGGGGGTAACCGAGGGTTATGGCCTATAATATAATAGTACCCTAAGTTGAGGGTCTTGGAAATTAAAACGTTGATTATACTTAGTATAGTTGCTATTGTACTTGTCAAATATTTCCAAGTACTGACCTCCCCTTCACGGGGGAGGCCACCTCACAGTTTCAGGTAGAACTTGAAGGTTGCTGCCACCGCCCGTTGCTTCGGGAAGATCCAAGGAAGAAGACGTGGTTCGTGCTTCTTCCGTTCTGTTTTAAAAACAATTAAGTTAATGCTCATGGACACCATTTTATTAATAATTACTTGAGGGCTTGTATGCCTAGTTATGCCAAGTGTGGCTTGAACAATTGTATTAATGCTTCCGCTGTTTTAAATGCATGTTTTACATTATGTTTGTTTATGGATGCACTACGTGTGAATGATATTCATGACGCCTTGTATAGTATGGACGAGTTGAACTGTGGTTGACTATTCGTACTGTACGGCGGGTTGTTGACGTGTCCGGCTAGGTCCGGGGCGTGACAGTTGTCGCATAGGGCCGAAGGTTGACACTTTTCGTTTCATTTTGGGGGGATGCCTCGTTAAAACCTCATTAGGAAAAACCCTGTGGGAAAAAATCCTAATAAAGGAAAAAGAGTGCACCGAATTCCCCCAATGATGACTCAAAAAGGTGAAACCTTGGTCTGAGATGAAGGACAAAGTTTGTGCCGAAGGCTACCCTTGATCTGAGGGCGCGTGGTTTGACTTACCGAAGATGCTTTGTAAATATCCCGGGAGATGGTGATCGAAGGGGAGTCCCTCAATCCATGGGGTTGAGGGCGTGATGGATGTAAGTGGTAGTTGGTGTGTTGCCGAGGGGGTTCTCTCGCTAATGACAATCTGGGGATGAGGGCACCCGAGGGTCCCGTTGTTGTATGTTGAAGGCTGTCCACCTAAGAGGGGTGTTAAATTCGATGTTCCCGAGGGGTCTCCTTGTTGCGTGGCCGGGAGGGACAGTTGATGAAGGCTCCCGAGGGGTTTACCCGTTGTTAAGCCATGGGCTCTTGATTGAGAAAGCCCGAAGGCACTTGTGATGTTGTATGAGGGGTACCAGCCGGGAGCACCTATGTGTTTTCAAAATATAGCCGTGGAGATATGACCGTTGGAAGTGGAGTCCACGTGTCGCGTGCTCGTTGGCTCCCGGCGGGCGGGCGTCACCGGTTGGTTGAATCGGCGGTGTGTAATGATGGAACTAAGTGTTGTAAATAATAATCTGCTGCAGTTTTTAAAAGTTTTCTCATCTTTTTGTTGTAGGAACTCTGGGCTCTATTCAACTTCTGCTGTCCTGGGTTGCTTGGTGACAAGAAGTGGTACTTATTTATACAAATCTAAAGTTTGCTGAGATATTAAGGGGGTGTTTGGAACCGATTCTGATTCTGCTTCTTTTTTAAAGAAGAATCAGAATCAGAATCAGTTTTCAGAAGCCGGTCACCCCCAGCTTCTAAAAAAACTGATTGTAGGAGTAAATTAGAGCACCAGAATCACTTCTGCACTTTTACCCAAACACTCCAACTTCTGTTTCTGCTCCCTGAAGGAGCAGAAGCAGTTTTAAGAATCAAATCCAAACACCCCCTAACTTCATCAACATGAACCCATTTTGTATATAACTTCAGGTTCAAAGAAAAACACGAGCATTTTATTCTTCGTGGAAATGATAAGAATGCATCAGACAGGGAAAAGCGTATCAGTTCACAAGTGGCAAAAGTAATGGAAAATCCCCATTGTACACGCTAGTTTTTACACGTCAGTTTTTACACGCCGGGTTACACGTCGATCAAATTGTCTGTGCACAGATAATTTGATCGGCTACACAGGCAATTTGACTGGTGTTTTATGAAGAAACTCGGTTTTCACACAAACAAAAATAAAAAATTGTCTGTAGCACAGACATTTTAAAATTATCGTTTAAAATTCTCGTTTAAAATTGTCTGTATCACAAACATTTTATGAAAAAATCTCGTCTAAAATGTCTGTGATACAGACAATTCTTTATTTTTGTCTGTGTAGAAATCGATTTTCTTCATAAAACGCCGGTCAAATTGTCTGTGTAGCTGGTCTAATTCTCTGTACACAGACAATTTGACTAGCGTGTAACCCGACGTGTAACCCCGTCATGTACACAAAGGGACCCGGTGGCAATTAGTCTAGTGCACATTGTATTTTCTCTTTGTTGTCGCACACACTTTGACTTTTTAATGTGAGATGCAACTTGACACCAATGTGTTGTTTATTACGTAGTAATATTTTCAATCTCTATTTTATACACTTCATTTATGTGATATACCGGTCACGTGTCCACCACAAATAAATGTGTCTCAAATAAATGATCCGGCTCATTTGCACCATACACTGGGCCATCCGTCGTGTCGTGTGTTTAGTTTAATTACCAGTCAAAATAAAACGTCATTTCCTTGTAACTCAGCAATTGAGTCATCGTGTATGTCTTGTTCTCTTAATAAAAGCACTAAACTACCATTTGCCTCTAATACTATGTCTGCAACAAAGCCTCTTGAACTCATTTATACTGATGTCTGGAGTGCTAGTACCGTGTCTGTTGATGGATTTAAATATTATGTGATTTTTGTTGATTACTATACCCGGTACATCTGGTTGTATCCTCTCAAAAATAAATCCGATGTCTCAATTATTTTCCCTCAATTTCATCGCCTTGTTGAAAATTAAAATATTTTAATGTCAAAATTATTTACATATTTTCTGACAATGGCGGTGAATATATCAAACTCAAGTCCTATTTCAACTCTCATGGAATTTCACACTTTACCTCACCACCTCACACTCCGGAGCATAATGGTTTAGCGGAACGCCGTCATCGTCATATTGTTGAGACCGGTCTTGCGCTTCTCCATTACTCCGGCATGCCCACCATATACTGGTCCTATGCCTTTCAAATAGCAGTGTACCTCATTAACCGGCTCCCAACTCCAACTTTACAAAATCAAAATCCATATTACCTGTTACACCATATTGTGCCTAACTATACCAAATTACGACCGTTTGGGTGTACCTGCTATCCTTGGCTACGGCCATATGTCCCTACTAAAATGCACTCTCGATCTAAACAATGTGTCTTTGTGGGTTATTCTACTTCTCAGTCAGCATATCTATGTTTAGAACCTGATTCTGGTCATGTATATATTTCTCGTCATGTAAGGTTTATTCCTAATGAATTTTTGTTTCGGTCCATGGCCCCTCCTATATCACCCATGCAACCCATGCAAGCTAGACGTGAAACACAAGTGCTCTACACTCCTCGCTTAGCTGGCTCCCGTGATGCTCTCCCTAGTCAAAATAATCCTCCACTAATTCCGCCTTTGGAGCTATCTCAACCGAACACTTCCTCATATAGCAGATGTGAAAAAAATGGCCCGTCTATAACTAATCCAGTTTTCATTCCAAAAAAAGACAAGTTTTACATTTTCAAAAAATTTGACCTCTGTCCAACTCAGCATCCCATCGCCCCCAACGCATGTCTCTCCGTCTCCGTTCTGCTACGTCCCTCTCCGCATCCATCGCAACACAGAAATCCGGAGACGGTGGTGGCACAACGATGACAGCGACACGAAGATGGCGACGATGATGTCCGTCGCACCTGCGACGACGACGACGATGGAATCCGCACTCTACCGAGCTCCAGCGATGGGGTCAGATCGCGCTGTACCGAGCTCCGAAGATGGGGTGAGCCATTGAAGGCGGTCTCCAACCTCGACGAACAACTCTTCTTCTTCCTCTAGTTCTGATTCAATGCGGTGGTGGCTCGATTTCATATATGTGACAAAGTCAAACGGCGGAATTGGTGTGAATTGCAACGGTTTGGGTTTCAGGGATGGGGCTGGGAGGTGGGTTGGGGCTGTGGCAGATGGAGAGGTGGTTGGGGGAGCTGGAGAGAGGGTTGGGTGAGGCAGGGAAGGGGGGTCAGGCAGGGGCTGGGCTGAGGCAAGGGACGTTCACCGGGATAGACTGGAATGGGGGATTGGGGGCTGCATATAGGCTAGGGAGGGTCACCGACGGGAGGAATGAGGGTGGTGGTGCAGCAATGGTTGAGGGAATCTCAATCGACGGGGCAAGGTTTGGCAGTGTAAAGGGGGCTGGGGAAATGGCTAGGCAGAGGCGGTGGTGGCCGGAAGCCGGAGATGAAGCCCTGGGAATGGCGGCGGTGGCTGTTGGTTGCTGGCGGCGTTGGGCGGTGGTGGCCGCAGGAGATGTGCGAGGGTGATGTGTCCGGTTGGTCACTATAGGATTGTGACGGGCCATTGACGGTGGCGGCGGCAGTGGCCTGGTGGTGGTATACAGTTGCGTTTGTGACGACAGTCACTTGGGGCGGCGGCAGTCACTAATCAGGGCGGTGCCAGTCAAACGAGGGGGCGACGGAGTCACTGTCGCGGTGGAGTCACTGTGACGGCAGAGTCACTATGGTGGTGGGTCACAGGTCACTGTGACGGTGAAGTCACTTTGACCGAAGTCACTTTGACCGAAGTCATTTGCAATGCAGGGTTTAATTATGATGTTAGGTCATATTTTTGAATTTTGAAAAAGATGTCACATTTTATCTTTTTTAGTAATATATACAGGCCAAAAGGCCCAAAAATCTCATGTTGTTTTCTGCCTTTTATGATGGTTCTGAACTTTGAATATGTAACTTCTTATCAGTGTAGGAATCAGTATACTTCTACACTTACATGATTATACACATAGGGATGTAGGTGTTTGTATGATCCTATGCCCTAATATAGTCCGCATCTTTAATTATGCATGGCAGTTAAACTAAATTGGGTTTAGAGCGTAAATAAGTAGCGGTCGCTCTAAATTTGGTCAAATTTGTAGCTAGGGGTGGGCACGATTGGTTAACCGGATTTTGGTTAACCAATTTCCGGTTAACTGTAATAGCGTTTATTAGATTTTCAATACCGTTATCCGTACCATATCGGTTAACCAAAGTTTCGGTTAACCAATAACGGTTAACCAATAAACCATAAAACCATGAAAGGAAAAGAGGTAGATTGTGCTTGTCATAAAACCATGCAACAGAAAAACTTAAAAACTAATCATGTACTCTAAAAAACTAATTAAGAAGTACATAGAGCTAGATAGCTCTCAAGCAGTACATAGTTAACCATTAGAGCAACACTATCTAAAGGCTAGTAGAATAGTAGATACTTGACAACTATAGCTATGTAACAGACCATCTAGAGTATTCCTAAACAATTATAAATCTTTAGTTTCCATAAACTAATGGACAAAAACAATATTATACAAAAAAGAGAAAAAAGTCAAATAAGGCCTTCTACTATTATGAAATAGTCACATAAGGCTATATATACTCAATAAAGTGTCATATAAGTACCTTGATGGAGTATATGGGTCTGAGCCCCAGGACCCACATACTCGGAAGAACAGAGCACAAGACAGAGTGGCGCCCTCGTCGGCCAAACGCCCTCGTCGGCCAAGACGCCCCCGTCGGCCGAGAGGAAGCCAACCCGGATTATGATCTCGAGTCCAAGGAACCCGGGTGCCCCCGTCGGCCGTGCCCTCGTCGGCCGTGCCCTCGTCGGCCACGACCTCGTCGGCCACGAGGACCTCCCAGAATCGGATCCTACACTTACTCACTTGTACAGCCCATTAGTGGCTTTGTATTCGGCCCAGTAGCGGTCCAGTTGTAAATGGGCCTCCCAAGCCCAAGGCTTGGGAGCCCAACCCTAATTTTCTCTATAAATACTCCCCTTGGGAGTAGTTATAGGGGTTACAAATTCATTCTATTGAAGCATATTATTGCACTTCTCTCTCTAGCTCTCACTTCTCTCTAGAATTCAGGAGATATACTCTATCATTTGGTGCTGTCGTTGAGAGCTAGAACAATCAAGTTAGCACCCTTCGTCGCTACCAAGCACAGCTAACCACTGATCATGGGGAGAACTAAGTCAAACCGCAACCTCGTCAGCAAAGCCATCCCTGAGGACCAAGAGCCCAGGGAGCACGATGAGGACGCCACGGCCGACCAGGTCGGCGGAGGGGACCTCTTCCAGGAAGACTTCAACCTCACGACGGACCTCCGCAACCAACTCAACGGCGGAGTCCCTGACGCCCGCCTCGGCCTGGAAAAGAAACGAGCTGAGAAAGCGGACCACGCCCCGGCCCAGCCTATGGCCGCGGCCTCTCCGTCCGTAGATCCTCAGGTCCAGGCCGCACTATCGGCTATCATCGCCAGCTTGGCTCAGAATCCCACCGTCCTCAGCGCACTCTTGCCAAGGACCGGGGGAAACGTCACTCCACCTCCTCATCCCCAACCCCTGGCCAACCAGATAGGCAACAATGAGGGGGTTGTGGCCCAGGACACGGCGTCGTCCCACTCACACCCTGCTTCCCCTCTTCGGCCCGGGCAGACCCCAGCGCGTGGAAAAGCCTCTGCCTTCAATAGGCTAGGTGACACGCGCCGTCGTCCGGTTTCGGAGAGGATGGCGGGACGGATTGGTGATTCTCGTCCTGGCTCGCCAAGGGAGAGTTTGGGGTCTGTGTCCCGGACAGCGGACCAGCCCCGCCCGGACAAGGGCAAGGGGAAGTTGCACGAGGATGACGTGCGTCACCAGATCAACGCGGCTCACAACGAGCGCCGGAGGAACCAGCCGGGTGCCGTCGCGGCCGACAGGGACCCCCGGGACGAGGTCATCGCCCAGCTGGAAAGGAGGTTGGCTCAGATGGAGGCCAAGCAGTCGACCAACGTCCCTACGGCCGGCGCCTCCAACGACCCCGGCCTCAACGCGCTCATGAACAAAGTCAGCGCCCTGGAGAGGGAGCTGGCCGAAGGGCGGGGTGACCCCATCATCCAGGTCAGGACCAGGACCCCTTTCACCAACAGGGTCCTCTCGGCCCCCATCCCTGAGAAGTACAGGGGGAACGCCATCAAGTCCTACGATGGCCGATCAGACCCCCAGGAGCACTTCAGCCGTTATCAAAACAACATGCTGATGGTGAACGCGTCCGACGAATACCTCTGCCGTTGGTTCCTCTCTACTCTCGAGGGGCCAGCGTACGAGTGGTTCAACGGGCTGCCAGAGGGAAGCATTGACTCATGGCAAGATCTCGCACAGCGCTTCCTCACTCACTTTGTCGGGAGGAAGCGCGCCAAGAAGTATTTCACCCACCTCCTCTCCGTCAAACAGCAGCACGAGGAGTCCCTCCGGTCATTCATCGACCGGTGGACGAGGGAGACCGAGGAGGTCGAGGGGGCCGATGAGCGCACCCTCCTCGCCTTGTACCAGGGAGCCCTCCGCAGCTCCCCGTACGCCAGGAGCCTCATCACTGACCCCCCGAGGTCGTACGCCAAAGCGCTCCAACGCGGAGGCTTGTATGCCGACGCCGACGAGCTCCACAATCACAAGAGAGAGGGGGGCCATCCCCCCAAGAAGACAAATCCTTCGCCGGCCTCGGGTCCATCCCCGGCCGGCCAGGGTGCCCAGGGCCGCCACGGCTCTGGTGGACAAAGTAAGAAAGACCGCCACTGGCGGCCGAGGATGGAACGGCCGGGGGTAGCCCTCACCCACCCGGTCGGCACCATCCTCGATTATGCCGAGAAGCACGGCCTCATCGAGCAGGCTCCTCGGCCGGCCGAGGAGGTCCTGGCCATCCAACAGGGCGGCACGTATTGCCGGTTCCACAAGAACTCGTCGCACAACACCGACGATTGCATCACATTAAAGAAGGCCATCGAGCGTCTTATTCGCCAGGGGGAACTCTCCCAGTTTGTCAAAGGTGGCCCACGTAAAAACACTTGGGTAAACACCGGCAAACGTGGGGGCGAACCCTCTGCGAAGAAGCGCGAGATTGGTAGACTCAGCGACGACGAGGACTTCGAGGAGCCTCCGCCGAAGAAGAATCACATCCACCTCATCGTGGGCGGGAACACTGGGGGGGACTCCGCCACTCAGAGGAAGAAATGGGCTCAATCCCTTTACATTGGAGAGGTGTCCCACGTTCCCCCCCAGCCGAAGAAGCAGCGAACGGAGGCGATCACCTTCACCAACAAGGATCTGCCTCCGGGTACGGAGTCACACAGGGACGCCCTCGTCATCCGATGTGAGATCGGTGACTCCATCATCCACCGCACTTACATCGATACGGGGAGCTCCGTCAACGTGATGTACCTAGACACCTTCAAGCAGCTGAAGCTGGACAGAGCTCTGCTGAAGCCGATCAAGACCCCGTTATCCGGCTTCACCGGGGACTCTATCGACGCCGAGGGCACGATAGTCCTCCCCGTGGAAGTCGGTGACGGCCCCCACCATGCCAAAATTGACATGGAGTTCATGGTGGTCAACCTCCAGTGCGCCCACAACTTGATCTTGGGCCGGCCAGCGCTGGAGGACTTGGAGGCCATCATCTCCATGAAGCACCTATGCTTGAAGTTCCCCACCAGCGACGGCATCGGCTACGCCAGAGGAAATCAGAGGATAGCCAGAGCTTGCTACCTCAAGCTGACGAGGCCGGCCGAAAGGGAGGGACAGCGGATAGATACCATCACGGCCGCCGCCGCCATGGACGAGGAGAGGCCACATGCGGAGCCAGCCGAGGAGGTCGAGGAAATCCCTCTGGATACCTCCCGGCCGGAGCGGGTTCTCAGGGTCGGAAAGCAACTCCCCCAGGACCAGCGAGACGCCATCCTCCTCGTCCTACGGTCATACGCCGTTGTCTTCGCGTGGGGCCCGGACGATATGCCCGGCATCAGCCGCCAGGTGATCACTCACCGGCTGACCGTCGATCCGGCCTCCGCGCCCGTCAAACAGAACCGGCGCTACTTGTCCGCTGACAGGCGGGACTTCGTCAAAGGGGAGGTCGCCATGCTCCTATCAATCAAGCATATCAAAGAGGTGAAGTACCCAACATGGTTGGCCAACGTCGTCCTCGCACAGAAGCCGCCGACGTTCAGAATGTGTGTTGACTACACTGACCTGAACAAGGCGTGCCCCATGGACCCGTTCCCTCTCCCCAACATCGATCAGCTGGTGGACGAGACGGCGGGGTGCGAGTTGATGTCGTTCCTCGACGCTTTCAGAGGGTACCACCAGATCTCCATGCATGAAGGGGACGCCGAGAAGACGGCATTCATGACCCCAGAGGGAATCTTTTGCTACCTCGTCATGGCCTTCGGACTCAAAAACTCCGGCGCCACCTACACTAGGATGGTGGCCAAGATCTTCAGGGCGGTCCTTGGCCGGACGATGGAGGCGTACGTCGACGACATGATCGTCAAGAGCAGGCAGGCCACCTCCCACGCCGACGACCTCCGGGAAATCTTTGAGATAATGAAGGAATTCAGGCTCCGCCTCAACCCCAAGAAATGCGCCTTCGGCGTCCAGGGTGGCAAGTTCCTCGGCTACATGGTCAGCCGGAGAGGCATCGAGATAAACCCGGAAAAGACGCAGGCCATCATCAACATGGAGCCGCCCCGCAACGTCAAGGAGGTACAGCGACTGACGGGGCGCCTGGCGGCCTTGAACCGTTTCCTCTCCAAGTCAGCTGAGAGGGCACTCCCCTTCTTCCAGATCATGCGCAAGGCAACCAGCTTCAGGTGGACGACGGAGTGCCAGGAAGCATTCGACGAATTGAAGAGGTACCTGTCGTCCCCACCCATACTCTACAAGCCCAAAGCCGGCGAAACCCTCTTCCTGTACTT